CCACAAGTAAACCCGCACCATATCAGCTGCCACCTACGAAGCGAATAAGCCTCTTAAAAAGTTGGGAGGCATGCTCCTTGTTGTAACCTGGTGTATAACTTGGTCCCGGGTCACGTGTTTGACACGCGTAGACGGACTATCGTAGCTGTGTCACACACTGCTTCCAATCCTGTCACTGTTTGGTTGTCAGACTCTGTCAACAGATGGAAGCATGGGAGAGGGAAGAGAACGTGAGGAATCCATCCCCACAACACTTCAGCACATCCCCCAACAAAATAAAGCCGACACGCTTTGGAACTATCACTATGCACTACAAGTCGCGGGTTGAAAGATTGGAAATTGACGGACCAGCTCGATCTTTCTGGCCAGTATCGTGTGTGGGTATTTGAAGTGACCAACTGGCGGACTGAGAGTCAGCTTCAATGACTTACGCCGACAAGGGGGACACGATGGGTTAGGGAAGGTGGAGTTGGATTTTGGAGTTCTGGGTCCGCCACGGTCGGGAGTTGCGAGCCGCCCTATTGGCTTTTTCAGTGGTAATCTGACTGACTCCGTAAAATACTGTTCCAGTCTCCACTGCTCTTCTCCAGGCCGGTCGATTCTGGACGAGGTACGCCCAGGTCTCCGGACTTAATTGTGAACCCTTGAAGAACTTCTGCAGGGTGTGTTTGCAGCGTCTACTTTGGCCTCCTTCCTGACGAGCTTTCCTAGCGACAGGTAGGTGCTCCCCATTAACCTTCACGAAGTGGCCGCCCCAGCACAGTTTCAACTGTTTCAGCAGGGCGTGGATGCTGAGTGTTCCTGCCTGTTCCGTGACTTCTGTGTCGGGTATTCCACTCTGCCACTTCAGCTATAGTATTCTTTGGAGACAAGTGAGATCGAAATGGCCCAGCCTCCTGGCTTGGTCGGCATAGACGCTCCATATCTCCGTCTCGAACAGTAGCGTTGTCGGGACTACCACCTTGTACATCCAGAGTTTTGTTTTGAGTTCAAACCGATGGTGATTCCAGAATGAGGTCTGTAGACGGCCGAACGCCTAGATGACTCTTGAGACCCAGTGGGCTCCTTCGATATCGATCTTGACACTTTGTGTGACTGTGCTGTCTAGGTATGCGACTTTGTCCGTGGTAGTGAGTTGGACCCCGTTGACCGATGGTGTGAGGCTCTCCCTAGTCCATGTCTGGCGCCGGCAGATGTAGGTCTATCGTCTTCTGTGTGTGGATGATCAGTCCGAGGTTTTCGCAGTCGGAGCCGCAGAGGCCCATGCTCCTTTGCGTAATCGCTTTCGTCACATAAATTACGTAGGTAACCTATATGCCAGATTGGTGTCTAACAACGTTGTGTTCTTGTGGGAAGTTCTTCCCACATATGACCACCTGGGTCTACTTTGTGAGCCTATCTATAAACAATACCTTATGGCAGATGTAAGTCCTCTTCCAGGATTAAAGCCGCTTTTTCCGATCATACATAGCAGTGAAATTGATAAATACTACCTATGATTAGTGTTAGCGGGCAGCTGAGGCAGTTATGTTCAATTTCCGACGAAAAAGCTCGTTGTACTGCCCATTTTTGATTCGTTTTGGCTGGCCTTGATTATTTCTAGGCACAGTTCTATCATTAGTAATTCGTCATAGAGTGACCTTACTAGTGGTGGACGTTCCTGCTTGCGACCCACACGGGGCCCTCTGCCGGTAATCTTCCTAAGTTAAGAAGAAGAGGTTTCGAGCATCGAAACATTTTGCTTATTGACCTGAGCTTCCAGACTCGTACAGGAGTCCATCGTCAGAGGTAGCAGCAGCAGCAGCAGCAGCAGCAACAGCAGCAGCAGCAGCAGCAGCAGCAGCAGCAGCAGCAGCAGCAGCAGCAGCAGCAGCAGCAGCAGCAGTAGCAGCAGCAGCAGCAGCAGCAGCAGCAGCAGGAGCAGCAGCAGCAGCAGCAGCAGCAGCTGCAGCAACAGCAAGCGACAGTCATAAGGCATGTAGGCCAATAATTGACCGATGACGCATGACTGGAGGCGACTGCGCAGGGCTCTATACGCCGGCGCCAGATCGATAAATCAATTGACTGAGTTCTCATCCTTGGCCCAGGCTTCAATAAATTCTCGGCTTGTCTTGTTTCCGGAGTGGGCGACTACTTTGGTGACTGCGAAGTTAAACTTGTGACGCATTTCGTAGGTGTGGGCGGCCACTTGTGATAATGCGTCGTCTCGTCGCACAGCTAGCCTATGTTCGTGTATGTTCCGGTGCTCGACATCTCTTCTTCTTCACTTATGAATACACCTGGAACTCGAAATTTCGCCTTCATTTAATAATCTTCCTCTCCGTTCAAATCTGACGGCAGACAAAGGTGTCTCTACGTCTTCCTCGTACTGTGCGGTCGGAAAGAGGGTGAAAGCGTGTCGCGAGTACCACCTTGCAATAAAATCTTTGTCGACTGGACCAGTGGTCCCGCAGATGGCTCCTGTCCGTCGATTTGAACAACTGCACCATAGTGCGTCTCAGGAATCGTAATCAGGTCCATGTTATGAGGCAATGTTATCTAAACGAAATGCCACTCCGAGGAGCAGAAACTCAGAAAGACCTCAGAATCTGGATTGCAGACACCCTAGAGCATTCTACGCAATGTCGTACGGCAGCTAAAGCCACAACTTCAATGCTGTACGTCATCAGACGTGCATTCACAGTCCTCGGTGAAGAATGCTCCTCCAAAGGCTTTGGCACGTTTGTAAGGCCGCAGATTGAATATGCAATCCAGGCTTGGAGACCATGGACGCAGCAGGATTGTAATTTACCCGAAAGGTTGCAGTGGCGAGCCGCAAAACTAGTACACTGCTTACGAGACTTGCCTGAATTACGTCAATGTCTGTCCTCTGAGTTATAGGCAGTTTCGCGGAGACTTGATAAAAACTTTCCGTATCGTGCGTGGCTTGGAAAGCACCCTCCGGTGTGACGACTGTTTCCAACTCGCCTCTACAACTAATCTCGGGGACATCCCTTTAAATTTCGTGTGCCTAAAGGTAGACTGAATGCGAGAAAGTATTTTTTCTCCAACCGTGTCGTGGAACCGTGAGGCGATTGTAATGTCCCGGTGTGTGGAGACATTTAAATATCGGCTTGACAGACATGTGCTGCAGCAACAAGCAAACTATGTGACTTTATAACCATAAAACCAGTGACCTATGTGAATGGATGTTTGCATTCACTTGTTGCTGGAATTTCTTCATGTTGTTGCTAATGTTTTGGACTTTTATGTACAAATAGGGAGTTCAGAGGCGTATGCCTATTTCCCTCAAATACACTAAATACCCCCTAGATATTTTTTCACGCTGTGCGGCGGGGAAAACTACTATCAACCAGACTTATCCCTGATTTTTGCCACATAAAGTACCACCAATTTGCAAATTAGCACTTTAAATGCCGCAGTTATGGTTCGTTTTTCCAAAAAATATGTTTTTCTTAAATGCCTGGCCTTATCGGACTTTTATGGACGCAAAGTCCCACGCTGCAGCTCCAGAGGGCCCTCAGTTTGCACTTTTCCCGCACGTAGTAACTTGCGCAGCACCTACCACACTGTCTCCTCCGTCCCTTCTAGGTCCGGTATCATGACAGAGGCGGGAGAGGGTCCAGGTGTCTAGCGCGGCCGGAGCGACCCCTAGGCGTGCCACCACAGACGGCTCGGATTCCACAGAGTGGAAGTGCCATAGAGGCCACATTACGAAGGCGCCATTGCAGCCTGACTCTCAGACCACCAGTCCGCCACTCCACACAAACACACACGCTAGGCCGATGTCCGAGTTATCCCGTCGGTTGGAAACTTTTCAAGCCACGGCGTGTGCTAAAAACGCCTCAGGTAAATGTTCTTGGCAAAAGTAGAAATAGTGCATGTACTCTCCGCTTCAGGACTTGACGGTTTTTATACTACTTATAAGGCAGGTGGCGCTTGTTGAAGGTACGGACGATAAGACTGAAATTATGCAGTAAACCAGAAAATTTTATTTACGCCATATGCTTGCTTTAATGCATTATTTAACTATGCTCTGAGCCGCACGAAGGAAATGCTGTGGACCTAGTTTCGGGAGAGGGCCTGGTCATTTATTCGCAAACGGAATGGTCAATGAGTTTTCGGTAAGACTATCAATATCCCGTTCGTAAAACCCTTTTTTTACCACCAATCCTCGCATTATATGTGATCTTGCTCCAAAGTACTGTTGGGGGGAGGGGGGAGGGTGTATCTATTTATATCCCACCTCCTAGCGCAACTTTGTTGCCGCTTCTACAATTCATTTTTACGCTTTTGTTCAGGTGAACACCTAACTAACCGCCGGGGAATTTCATCCTCTCCAGCTCATCTCACTCCCCCACCGTTAATGTCTTTGTACGCAGTTCTGCGTCCCAACTTCGGTGTGCTGGGCGGAGCCTGCCGCCACGACGCAGGCCACTGAGACCTGGATGGGTTTGGGGGTAAAAAGCTGTACTCCCCTCAACCCCTCCCCCACCCCCTATCGATCCACGCTGAACAACGACGCCGTACTCCCGCTGATCAGGCCTGACAGCCTAGTTAATGGACAGGCCGCATGCTGAAGGGCGCAAACCTGCACTCGTGTACGCATGTGTGCGTGCGATCGGCTCATGTGTCAGAGCCTGGTGGACGAACTGTAGGCGTTGACTAGGTTGATGTAGGCAGTATGGTATTGACGACAACGACAAGGGAGACGGGGGGGGGGCGGCTCACCGATCGTTCTTACGGAACTCATTCGTTACATTGTGCCTTACGGGCTCTCTCTCGAGCCCAACGAGCGCCCCTCTACCACTAGGTTGATGGCTCATATTGACCCAACTGTGAAAAACTCGGCGCCTCGGTGGGATTCGAACCCACACAGTAAGGGGAAGGCTTTAGTACAGCCCACGCTCAGTGGGCAAAAAGGCCATTCGAGCATGGGTAAGGGTGGTATGAAAAAACTGAGGATTACAGGCAGCATTACAGGGGAGTACCGCCAAAGACAAGGGAGACTGGAATGGCCATTTCTGGCTTATCAACCAGCCAACCAGTCATACCCAACCCCAGGTCAGCATGACCTGGGATTTGAACCCGATTCTTATGGTTACTGAGCGGTTAAGGAGGCCAACACCCTACCAGTCAGACACCGCCAGTACTCCTTCTATGTATATATCGTACTGGTCGCTACGTGACTGTCTGTGAGGGCTCCATAGTTGGCTTCAAGGTGCAACGCTGAACGCACTTCTTGCGGTGACGAATATTCGCGGTCACGATCGACACGACGACAGGCCCTTGACTCGATGCAAGGACACTGGTTAGGAGTTAAGTATATGCGCGGGGTAAAGAAAAACAATGGAGGACTGCCTAAAGTAATTTTGAAAGCAGGTGCTGTTCGGTAGATTGTTGTCGGTCTTTCGTCGGCATGACGACATTCGCTGACCTGTAACGTCCCGAGGATTCGGTCAGAAAAATACACAAGTTGTTTTCGGTGCTTGATCAGTCTTCTTTTTCTTTCCTACTCAACCCTGCATTCACCAGTGCTCCTTCTCTCCAGTTACCCGGAGGTGAGCGCTCCCAAGGGAGCAGGTTTCAAAGAGAAGGCAGGCTGCGCATCCGAGCCTAGACGATAAACTCATTTTGCAGGTTCGTAGGCAAACAGCAAGACCTTGGCTATGATACAGCCCGCACAGTCAGTCCCCTGAGGTGATGTTCGTTGCGTACATGTGTGGGATGCTTCCTGAGGGGGGGGGGAAACAGTTATTTTACTCCTCCTGAATAGATGGATGACCAAAGAAAAGTGCTTAAACAGCCAGGAATTTAATTGGTAACCATGGACGATTGAGAGCAGCCACTAGCCATTGCGGAGAGACGGATAATGACTTCATCTTTAATCAGCAACAAAGTGTTTCTAGTTTGTGCGTTCTCTTCCGCGGTCCCTTAGTCCTCCACATATGAACCGAGTCCAAATTTATGGGTTTATACAGCTCGCAAAGGAGAGCAGGCGGATAACTTACGGTATAGGACGTAGCTGATATGCGTTGTGAGAACCAAGTGATGTAAGGAATGCGTAGAGGGAACGTTTCGCTTTGTCAGTCGCCGTACCCGAGTACCCTTTCTGGTCGTCGTTGAAGCAAGGTGGGTTTGGGTGGGAAAATACGATAGATGCTACGAAAGCCTATCTCACTGTAAGATACTTCACGTGCAAGTCGCCGATTCTGTGACCACCAAATCGTGGACGTCATCGCTCGCAAAGGTCGAGATGACACACCGGCGGACGCCGCCCCCACGGCAAACATCCCCGATTGTTGCCGATGTATCTTGGGTTCAGTGGCTCAAACTGTTAGAATGTTGGGTCTAGATGTTCAGTTTTCCTCCGCCTGTTAAAGGGACGCTCACCGATCGGGTCCTGGGACTCACTCGTCCCCTTGTTTCTTCGGACTCTCTCTCTCTCTCTCTCTCTCTCTCTCGAACCCAACCAGCAGCCGCATAGCGGCGCGTAATATGGGCAGAACAGCATAGCCGACCAAGATAAGCAGGACTGGGAGGACCAGTTCTGGCTTATCAGCCGTCGTCAGCCGGCCACACTCAATCCCCTTGTAAGTAACCCCAGAGGCTCGACCCCACGACCTGTTGGTCAGAAGTCCACCGCCCCTAACCACTGAGCCACGGGCTCGTTGTCCCATCGGTTACGATCGGATAAATACGATCGTAGGGGAGTGCTCATCGAAACCCAGGGGTTGCGCACCACGTGTTCGGGTATGGCTGCCTGAAATGGCCCGAAATGGCCATTCCAGTCTCCCTTGTCTTTGTCGGTAATCCCATTCTACCCTTCACGTGCTGACGCCTGGGGTTGAGGCGCAGTGGATTGATGATGACAAGTAAGCCAAAGAATACCAATTCAATTCTACTTTGCCTTTGCGATAACATTTCTTGATTTTGCTGCCTTGTATCCGCCACCGTTCTACTCACGGACCTCTCCGGATTACAAACTGGATCGCCTCACCCGGCTGTTTCATAAAGGATACAGACCACTACGCATTCCCAGGTATAAAACTGCTCGTCAACTTCTGTCAGAATGAGACTGAGCCTGTTCGCCTGGGCTGAATGAGCTCCAAAGTGGACACGACAGCGATTAACAAAACGGCAAATTACCCTCGGCTTCTACTCCAGCTTCGCTGGTTCGTTGCTTCCGTCCAATCATCATCTCTCAGCCAGCAGTGGCGACTTCGGAGGTTGGTTGCGTCTGCCGTAGAGGTTTTCATCATTCCATAGTTTGGAGAAGGTGCATTTTCCCAACTTGAGTGCGCAGTCTATATCGATTCTCATAATTGCCGTCCACAGTTGTCTAGCCCTTTAACAGCTTTCCAAACTGACTGATGTAGCCTACAAACAACGTCTGGAAAAAAATTATTGCTGGTGAAGGGCTAACGGGAGAATCAAAGGATCTACCAGTGCCAGAGTTACAAGAAATTTTAACGCCTAGATGTACACCAAACACGCCCACATGCCACTTCGCCCGTTGT